GACCACCACCTTGTCCTTCACCAGCATGTCCAGCTGCTCTGCCAAGCCACCACCACCCGTGCCTGAGTCTGCTGCCCACACACCCAAAGGCCACTGCCGCCCGTGCCACGCCCCCAGTGGAGCAGAGCTGCCGCCGCTGGGCGGAGGGACCCGCTCATCCTTTTTTTTGCCGCCAGGCATTTATTGACAGGGAGCAGTATGGTCTTCGCACCCGGCCAGCCAGGAGGCACACAGAGCATGGCGCTTGGCTTGCAGCAGGAGGGTCTCCATCCGGGCATCCAGGCTGCAGGCTGTCTTCCGCAGGTCCTGCAGGGCTCACTGCATGAACTCGAAGGCATGGCAATCCAGGCATGGGCAGCTCTGCTCGGGACAGCGGTCCCAGTGGGCTCAGCGCTGACACAAGCGCCCAACAGTGCCAGCATGGAGGCGGGCAAGGCATCACTTTTTCCAGGCCACCCTTTGCCCCCTCGAGGTTCTGCACTATTCCTGAGGGCAGCATCTGCAGGAGGGGAGGAGCAGCAACAGTAGGTGAGGATGAGGAGTATTAGTTGCTGCTGCCGCCAGGCAGCTTCTCGAATGTGGAGAGCTCCACTGCCCCTGGCATCAGGTGTCCTGCAGCCTCCTGCTCGAGCAGTGCCACCCGGTGCTGGGGCAGCTCTGGTGGTGGAGGCAGCCTACGGACCATGGTGGCATATGTGATCAGCAAACCGAGTCAGGGGCAACTGGTGGTGGCTTATAGCAAGGTCCTGCAGAAGCTGTGGGAGGTGTGTGAGGCAGTGGGTACCACCTTGGAGACCCTGCATTTTGAGAACTCGACTTTGGAGAAACCACAGTTTTTGACCGCTTTTACAATGCAGATATCATGGTGGTGGAGATGAGTGATGCTTTCCGGCAGCCATCCTTGTTTTACTACCTGGGGGTGAGAGAAAGTTTCAGCATGGCCAACAACATCATCCTCTACTGTGATATTCAGACTCTCTGCAGTCACTGAAGGAACTCATTTGCTAGAAGAATACTATGTGCACTGGGAACTACACCTTTGTTCCTTACATAATCACTGCACATAACAAGGTCTACTGCTGTGACCGCAGCTTCATGAAGGGGTTGACGGAGCTCATGCAACCGAACTTAAAGCTGCTTCTTGGACCCAGCTGCTTACTTCTTATGGATTGTTTGAAGGTGGCACAAGCAAGTTCCAGCTAGTATTTCTGAGAGTCAGTACTCAATGATATCGGAAAAACTCATAATTTATACACTGGTAAGGAACTGTCAGCTGAGTTGGCAAGAATTCTGCGGAGAGTAGATAATATAGAAGTCTTGACAGCAGATATTGTGATAAAGCTGTTACTTTTCTACAGAGATATCTAGGATTATGATTCTATTGTGAAGCTGGTAGAGAATTTAGAAAAACTGCCAACCTTTGATTTGACCTCCCATCACCATGTGAAGTTTCATTATGCATTTGCCTGAATAGGCAAAATCTCCCTGGAGACAGAGCTAAAGCTCTTGTTATTATGTTTCCCATGGTGCAAAGTGAAGGACAAGTTGCTTCAGATATGTATAGCCTAGTTGGTCGAATCTACAAAGATATGTTTTTGGACTTTAATTTCACAGACACTGAAAGCAGAGAACATGGGGCTTCTTGAGACAAGGTTTCCCCATGTTGCCCAGACTGATCTTGAACTCCTGGGCTCCATTGATCCACCTGCCTCACCTCCCAAATCTGGGATTACAGATGTGAGCGACCACACCTGGCTGGTTTAGATATTCTAATTGTGCTGAAATAGAGTATATTGTTGAAACAAACATTGATTCTTGACTCTTATCTGAGACAGAGAGTGAATGGCTTGAATGAATACATCCTAATTTAAGCATTAAAAAAAAAGTCCTCGAAGAAAAAAAAAGTGGCACTGATATATTGAGATAACAGGGACATGCTTCTCCTTGTCCACCTTTGCAGCCTTTTTCTGTCATGTAGTTTCAACAAGAGTTACCTTTGAGTGTACACTAAGTGTAAACTAAGGTAAGACTACTCTGGAAATGAGAACATGAAAAATGAGCAAAGGCTGTAGAAGGAATATACCTTAACAGGCTGATTTGGAGTAAGCCAGAAAAAAAAAAAACTATCATTATTTGTGTGGTTAATTATAATTCAACATTATTTAAGCACATAAAGACCAAAAAAAAATCCAAAGATCCAAACTTTTTTTTAAACTTAAAAAATCGGCCGGGCGCGGTGGCTCAAGCCTGTAATCCCAGCACTTTGGGAGGCCGAGGCGGGTGGATCAAGAGGTCGAGAGATCGAGACCATCCTGGTCAACATGATGAAACCCCGTCTCTACTAAAAATACAAAAAAATTAGCTGGGCATGGTGGTGCGTGCCTGTAATCCCAGCTACTCGGGAGGCTGAGGCAGGAGAATTGCCTGAACCCAGGAGGTGGAGGTTGCGGTGAGCCGAGATCGCGCCATTGCACTCCAGCCTGGGTAACAAGAGCGAAACTCCGTCTCAAAAAAAAAAAAAAAAAAAAAAAAAACATAAAAAATCACTTTGTGGTATGTCGGTTGCACTTTTTTTTTCTGCCATAATGTAAAGTAGCTTGCCCCGTCAAAAACTGAGTTGAAATTCATAGCCAGCAAACCTGTTTCCCCCTCAGCATCCTGATTTAATTTTTCCATTGCTTTTGTTTGCTTCTCCATTTAATAGTTAGTGAACTTTATGCATGTTGATCTGTATTCTGATTTTCACTGAATAGGAAACCCCAAAATTATTTTTTTAGCAATTGAATGAGCAAATTATTTCAGTGTGACAGCCATGATTCAAGTTCCAATTAGTTTGAAAAGGGTACTTTGATATTGTCCCATATTAATGAGAGCAACAGAAAAATTTCCTGTATTACCAGATTGATTTTGTGTCTCATTTCAAATTTTAATTTAAAATTATGGTATTCATTTTTGTTTACCTTAAAGTGATGCTTAAAAGTTGCATGTAATTATGACACTTAGATTTGTTGAAAGCATTTTTGACACTTGTATCAAAGAATTTGTGAGAAAGTTAATATATCCTGGTGCTGACCAAAGAAACATATACGTAACAACTGAAATTAAATTTTTGTAACTGATTAGTTTTCACTCATTTATAATCAGTAAGAGAGACTGTCTAGATGTTGGGGCAGCTCTACGATTTGAGTCTGTAACATGTCATAACTAAATTAAGTACCCCAGTTTTATGTTAAGCTATTAGAACTTACTCCCCCTACCTCCCTGGCATACCTATATCTCTTAATGACTTCTGGATCCTGAGCTCCCTTTGCAGTCTGAAAAAGGTATTGCAGTCAGTACTGTGTACTGATGATAAAAGCCTCTGGTAACAATAAAAAGTTGTCCTAAAATTCTTTTTTAAGGAGTCAAGCTGGGGAAAGGGCTGGGGTTCCCAGACCCAATATGGGCCTTTGAGGTCACCTCACATTTTTCCTTTTGAAGGGCTGTAAGGAGCTGTGGTGTTGTCAGCCTCCATACAGGTGAGCCAGGGCCATGTGGATAGAGGGCTTTTTTAAAATACTTATTTATGTATTTTAAAAAAAGTATTTTTAAAAAGTGTCACTTTTTTTAACTTGGTAAAGTCCTCAACGTAGATTTTATTTATACATTTCTTCAAATGATTGTGGTATTTTTAAAAATCTCTCCCAAATCTGATGATATAGGGACAGTGGTGAGAACAAGGTATCCTTGAAGAAAATAATTATGGATTGATGCTTTCCTAGCTCACTGAGATAATATGCAGAAGATAGTTTTTTTATAATCCTAAAGAATATTAAATGTGGGTTTGTTTGAATTGGCCTTCTGAGAACTGTTCAAATAAAAGGACATTTATATGGAAAAAAAGATTGGTTTCCAAAATGTGCTATCTTTGAAAATAAGTCTTCAGAAATGTATGTCCAAAAAGATCTGCAAAGCTTGGTACAGTGTTAATTTATGAAGAGAAGTAACAACCCCCATGGATTTTAAAACCCAAAATACTCTATGAAATACTTTAAATGACATGGCATTAGCAACCTTTTTTTAAAGCATTTTATTTAAAAGAAATCTGATTAAGACCATTCTCACCCTTCTGAAAAGACATAATCCCTTTCTAAAACAAAAGTATAATTTGCAAGAGAAACAACATCACAATTCACTAGTAAATTAAGATTTCTGAGGTTGTAAGAAATGGGGTCAAAACAAGTCACGCTCAAAAAGGGATGGTTAACACAAGAATGTGCTGAGTAAAGTGCATGAAAGGAAGCCTGCTCAGCTAAATGAAGTAGACAAAGGTCAGAAGTCAAGGGTCATTCGTCAGAGTGGCAGCAGGCTCAAAAACCACACTGCAAATTCTGGTAGCCACTGGCGGTATCAGCATGAGGACCATTAATGTAGTCACAGTAGTAAAAGTGTTCATCATTCAGAGAAGGAAATGCTGAAATTAAATACTGCAGGTCTGCACCAGTTATAGTAAGATAACCAGAGAGATTAAGGTGCTACAAATAAGGCAGCCCTACTCCCAGAGTCAAAACCCTGAGACCATGGTCTGTGACCTGATAACATCCAGGTAAACTGAGAAACAGAAGTACATGGCCAGTCTCCTGATCATATTTTTAACTCCCAAAGTAAATTAAGTCTTTTTCCCTAGGCAATCTAGTACTTGATGCTTTTCTACACGTTACCAAAGACTCCGGGAGTGCTGACATAGTTCTTAAAGCTGTCCCTGTACAACAAAATGAGTGACCAAAATATGCAAAGGCTGGAGAAGCACAATGCTGCTGACAATAGATACTAGTCCTTAGTCCAACAATATTCTTATTATAACAACCAGAGGTGGAACAACTAAAGTTGGATGCTGTTTCCATTACACAAAGACTTTCAACATTTCTATATCTCCAATCCACAGCATCTTCAATATCAGCCAAATATTCTGCATCTAACATCCACACATAAGAAGAAGTAAAATTCTCAGAAGAAATTGGCAGAAAACAACCTTGAGGAACCTTGAGGAGTGTCTGAAGTTTAGAAAACTTAGGGATGGAGCCCCCCAAGATGAAACCGGTGGTGGAGCCACTGTCCTGGATGCTGGGCACCTGGCTGTCTGACCCTCCCAGAGCTGGGACCTACCCCACACTGCAGCCCTTCCAGTACCTGGAGGAGATGCATATCTTGCATGTGGCCCAGCCCATGCTGAGCTTCTTGTTCAACTCCTTCCACCTCGACACACACAAGCAAAAAGAATGTGGCTTCATCCGCCTCAAGCCCGATACCAACAAGGTGGCCTTTGTCAGCACCCAGAACACATGTGTGGTAGAGGTGGAGGAGGGTGAGGTGAATGAGCAGGAGCTGTGCATCACATCCCACTCCATCGCCAGGATCTCCTTTGCCAAGGAACCCCATGTGGAACAGTTTACCTGGAAGTTCAGGCTGAATTCTGAAGGCAAACTTGAACAGACAGTCTCCATGGCAACCACTACACAGCCAATGACTCAACATCTTCATGTCACCTACAAGAAGGTGACCCCATAACCTAGAGCTTCTGGAGCCCTCAGAAGGGCCTGGCTACTGCATCTCAATGGTTCAGCTCCTCAGCAGACAGTCCATGCAGCAGACGTGGGTGTGGTCATGAGCCTGTCCAGGCTCAAGAGTGTTGTCCAGAAGGTCCTGTACTGGCATAGAAAAACCAAATAAAAGGCCTTTATTTTTTTAAAAAGTGACAATTTTCAAGGATGGTTCCCATCTATAAAATGGACAAAGTACAAGCTCTGTACAGCAGTTCTTTTAAAAAATCAACTGGAATAAAAATTAACAACGTATATTTTGAATTTGCAAAATATACTTACAGATACCATCATTTGAGCTTTTATGAAGACATAAGAAAGGACCACTACAGAGAAGACAACTAACTTTGGCACACTTTGTTCAAAGGGCTCTTAGGAAAAAATTGTGAGTTTTAAAAACAGGAGTGGGAGGGTGGGACAGTCCCAATGACTAAAAAATAACGCAACCACAGTAAGTCACTTTGGCACACTGTGTCATGTAAACATAGCTCACTGCAAAGGACCCCTCCCCAACCCAACCCTGCTAGTGATGCCCACACCATCGAAAGCCACCCCCCAGCTCAGGGGCAGGATGCTGCCCCCAACCGCGGCCACACAAGGGCCTGAGTAGACACATCCCAATGGTACGAAGGTTGCGAGGACCTGGGGGCTGGCAGGGTGGAGGTGTGGGGGCAAAAGATTCATCAAAAAACCTGATTTAAAAACCAGCCAGATTCTTCTATGTCAATGTTTTTCTTCCTAACAGTAGTAGTCATTGCAGGTGACAGGGTCTGACAAAAAGGCCTGGGTGCTGAAGCTGTGCATGCCCTTCCCTGCCCTGCCTTCCATGGCCCTGCATGGGTACCTCCCTGCCCTGCCTTCCACTGCCCTGCATGGGTACCTAAGGGAGTTTCTTCAGGCTCCCCCAGGAGCCCACTGTGAAAGAAGAGTGCAGAGTCACTCTGGCATGGGACCTTGCTGCCCACTCAGAACACATCTGGCTACATGGCAGGGGATGGGGGAAAGGAAGACCTACATGGCAGCCCCCTAGCCAGGCTTTCACCCTGGGGCTGCTGTCCTACAGTGCACACCTATGGGGCTCCTGTGGGGGATGAAGACACACAGCCAACCCTTTTGTACAAGACACGGGGAGGAGCATGGCACCGGTAGAATCTCCCAGGGCCACTCCTAACTTCTTGGCCACTGCTGTCCCTCTGAGGGGCCTGCAGGTGTGTGTGTCTGGTGCCTCAGATGGCCAGGCTGTGCCAGCATCTTTGAGACTGAGCATCTGGAGTGAAGGAGGAAGCAGGGCACCTATCATAGAGTGGCAGGGGTGATGGGGAACTTTCCTAAGCACCCAGGCAGACAGCAGGCACCTTTCCCTGTTATGACATTTGGTTCATAACCGTCTGGTTTAACAGGACCCTAAGGCTCCTGTCTCCTGCTAGGAATCCTCAATGTAAATGAGCAGGTATTGTTTGGTTTTGACCATTCCTAATTCTTTACCCAATGCCCCCTGAAGCATCACCTTGGCCAGGTGGGGCATGGGAGGGGCAGTAGGCAGGGCATGACTTGCTGCCTGGCTGAAGCTCCCCAGGCTGCAGGTGCACAGGGCTGTGAGCCAGGCCTGTGCCCAGGCTGAGAGGATCGTCCCTGCCACTGCTGGCCATTAATTCTGAAGGCCCAGCATGCAGGGGCTCAGATCAGAATGAGGCAAATACTAGCCTGTGACAGTTGCCTGGTGTCATCGATATGCCCTGTTGCCAGGGGCACAGCAGTATCACTGGCTCACCGTGGGAGCTGTGGGGTGTTTTTTGCCATTCTTTAAAGAAAAGAAACTTAATGTAAAAGGACCCGAAGTGATATATCTGTCAAAATAAGTAACCCTTCCAGGTTCACAGATACCCACAACATGCAAAGCAGGTTCTGATGCACAGTAGCGACTCTCAGGCTGACTGACACCCAACAGGGGTGCCGGAGCTGAGGCCGGTGGTCTAAAGGAAGCCTGCCAGCTGGCCACGGCAGTAGCACCAACTGGCTGACCAGGCTCCAGGGGACAAAGGAGGCCACCTCCTCCCTCCATGAGAACCTGGCCCCACCAGGCTCCGGCCCCTCCTCCCAGTGGCTGTGAACAGCTTTGTGGGGAATTTACAAGATGATGATGACTTACAGAAACCATAGGGAACTGACCATACATTATTTCTTTATGTAGTTTTATATTTGGTGTCCCATCATAGAAAATGTCATCCTGAGATATAGCAAGTACATCAGGTGAAAGGGAGTCAGGCCAGGAAGACACTTGGGAGCAGAGGAGCAGAGAGAGGGGCTATTGACATAAACCTGCCCCATGACACAACTCAGCTTTGTGGAAACCAGACGTGATTTTGATGGAATCAAAAATGGAGATTTCAAGAGTTCTCCTGGCTCCCCCAGGGCACATGGGCCCTCTCCTACTGCCCTGTCCTCAGCACACACCTGTCCACTTGGTTGCTTCTACCACTCCCCGACTGGTCATTGCTGGGTGTCACTCAGCTGCAGAGCCAGCAGAGGCGAAGTCTGGAAGGAAGAGGGACCCCCCCCGGCCTGGGGAAGCTTTGTGTTTTTTTGTAGGCTTTTCCCGGGGCAGGGGCAGGCTCTGTTAGCAGAATATGGCAGTGTGGGCCCAGGGCCACAGTCACTGCTTCCTGGGGCCTCTCCTTTTTGACTCTGTCCATCAGAATCCATCAGGTGATGGGGACTGAGTGGAGCCTAGACAGGCTGAGCTCTGGGTTTGCCTGATGGTTCCTTCTTCCCTCCCTGTGCAGGCCACGTGCTATATGTCAACATCAAGATGGAGAATGGGTAGTCCAAGGGGTGCAGTGTGGTTAAGTGCGAGTCACCAGAGGTGGCTGAGAGAACCCAAGAAGTCAACATCATCATACACCTCCATCTCCAGGGGCAGGAGCGCTGTTCTGGGTACATAGCCATCTGTGGAGAGAACGGGCAGGGTGGGTTCTCAGGCCCAGGGTGGCAGGGTGGCCTCCTGGGGCTGTGGGGCGAGGTACACTCACACTTGCCCTTGGGATCCTGGCACAGCATCTTGTGCTTGCTAGTGAACTCGATCACTTTCAGGATCTCCCCACACCAGATCCCAAGGTGCTTGCCACCCCGTGATGCATTTGGCATTGGGGTTGATCATCATCTTCGTGTGCACCACAATCTCCCCTTGGACTTCTTACGGAACTCCCTATCAGCCTTCTCTGCCTTCCTCATCTGCTTCAGCAACTTTGGGTCCATGGGTGGCAACTGCTGTGGCTGGGGATCCTTTTCCTTTCTGAGTGCTGGGTCTTGTGGTGGCCTCCTGGCAGCTTGCTGAACCAAGGGCACTTCATCTGGACAGGCCACTGACAAACCTCTGCCCTTGGGGCTTGGGCTGGAGTCATCTCCAGGCTCCTCACTGTCATACAGCTCATAGATCTCACCTGGGTCCTGTGGGGTATCTTCAGGCTCTCCGGCCTGGAAGTGGAGCCCAGCAGCCAAGCGGGTCCTCCGTAGCTCTGTGGAGGCTGCCGAGAGTCTCCAAAAGCTCTGTATATCCATGGGGCATGGGGGCAGTGGGGGCTTGACAGGAGGGTGTCCCAGGCTGCTGGCAGGGGGCAGAGAACTCTGCTGGGGTAGATGGCTGGGTTCGAGGCCTGGCCTGGACCTTCCACTGTGAACAAGGCCTCCTGGCCTCCAGTGGGGTTTCCCAGCCACTCCAAACCCAGGGTTGAGCAGGCACCCTGAGCTGGAGCCTGCCATGGCCACTGGCAGTGAACTCTCAGAAGCAGAGCTGGGGAGTGGAGGCTTTCGGGGGTGATCACCGAGGAACTCAGACTGAGGCTGGCTGTGAGAACTTGTGGGGTGGCCCCTGGCACTCAGGGTGCAGTAACTTCCTGGGGATTGAGTTGGGCTCTGCGGATTTCCTGGGGAGGCCACCTGGCTCAGGCTGTGGAGGTTTCTTGGAGAGCACTTTGAATTTGGGCTGCTGCAGCCTCTTGGAAAACATGCTTACTTTGGGCTCTGAGGATGTCCTGGGGAGGTCCCCAAGCTTAGGCTGCAGGGGCTTCTTGGGAAAGTCATTTAGCTGAGGCTGGGATGGCTTTTTGGGAAAGACATTTAAGTCAGGCTTTGGCTTACTGGACTCAGGCTTCCAGAAGGGTGTCTGAGCAGCCTCATTGAACTCAGGCAGAAACTTCTTAGGGAAGCCACTGACCTGAGGCTGAGGGGGCTTTCTGGGGTACACACTGAACTCAGGTTGCAGGGGCTTCTTGGGAAGGGTGCTGAAGTTGGGTTTTGGGGAGTGGGGGAGGGAGTCACTAGACTCATGCTTGCAGGGGGTTGTCTGAGGAACCTCACTGAACTCAGCCTGTGGCAGGGACTCCTTAGGGAGGCCACCAACCTGAGAGCCCAATCTGTGGGGGCTTTCTGGGGTGCACATTGAACTCAGGCTGCAGAGGCTTCTTGGGAATGGTACTAACTAAACTCAGGCTGCGAGGCCTTCAGGGTAGTCTTGCAGACCTCGGGCTGCCAGTACTTCCTGGAAAATGTGCTGGATTTGGAATTGGAGGGGGCTATGGAAGGGTGGCTGAGCTCAGGCTGCAGGGCTTTCTGGGCCGGCGTACTGCACTCCAGCATCAAGGCCTTCAAAGAGGCCTCACTGGCCTCAGGCTGCAGGGGCTTCCTTGCAAATGAAGTGGCCTCCAGCTGTGGGAACTTCCTGGAGAGTTCAGTCAACTCATTGGATGGCTTCCTGGGGAGATCAGGGACCTCAGGCTGCAGGGGCTTCTTGGGGAGGTCAGGGTCCTCAGGCTGCAGGGCCTTCTTGGGGAGGTCAGGGAACTCAGGCTGCAGGGGCTTCAAGGACACTGCACCAAACTCAGGCTGCGGGGGCTTCTTGGGGTGTTCGCTTAGCTCAGGCTGGGGTAACTTCTTGAGTTTACTGAATTCAGGCTTTTGGGTTTTTTTGGGCAGGCTGCTGGGCTCCGGCTGATGCTTCCCCAGTCATGGAGAATTGCTGGAGAACAGTGGTGCAATCCTGGCTAACTGCAACCTCTGCCTCCTGGGTTCAAGCAATTCTTCCAACTCACCCTCCAGGGTAGCTTGGACCACAGATGGAGGTGGTGTGATCTGACATCTCGAAACAATCTCAACCTTTTGGGCTCCAGAGATCTTCCCACTTCGACCTTTCAGATTGCTGCGATGACAGGCTGGAGTGCAGTGGTGGGATCTCAGCTCACTGGAACCCCCACCTACCATTACTAAGCATTCCTCCTGCCACAGCTTCCCCAATATCTGGGACTACAAGTCACCTGCCAACATGCTTGGCTAGTTTTCCTATATTTAGGAGAGACGGGGTTTCACCATTTGAACCACGATGGTCTTCATCTCTTGACCTTGGGATTCTTCCACCTCAGCCTCCCAAGGCATTCATGGTGGGATTTCCATGGGAGAAGCTTACATGCTAACTGACAGCACTTTCCTGATCCACGTCCTGGCTGATGTCTCTGGCTCAGTGTCCCCCATCGGCTGCCTGATTTTTTTTTCTTATCTCGGGGTTCCCTTCCCATGTTGCTCAGTTGCTCATGCTGGTCTCAAACTTATGGCCTATTTCAACTTTATTTATTTTTTTTAATTGATGCTGTTATCTTCAAGAGTTACATGACAGAAGCCGCTACTTAGCTGTGTAGGGAAAGTCTGTTTCAGGACAAACTTTCATGAGCCGAGGAGGGAGCGCAGGTTGGGCTGAGCCAGGCTCTTCCCTCCCAAGGAGCCCCCTCCAGTCCCGCCAGTGTCTGCCTTGCCCGCTCCTCCTTGCAGGCTAAGCCTGTCCCGCCAGCTGCACTTACAGCTCTCTGCGGCTCGTGACGCCTTCTCAGCCCTGGGGACTTTCCTGGAGGAGCTGGGTCAGGCCAGCTAGAGCCAGAGGGGGGACACGGGGCAAATGGAGAAAACGAAGGATGGAGCCCCTCACTCCCTCTGCATCTGCCAGTGGCACCCCAGCCGCAGACCGGGCCCTGGTTTTTGGATACCCAGAGGACCCAACCCGGGCCTGGACGGGTTTTTCCGCTAAGCAGGACAGACTCACAAAGTGCTGGGGCTCGTTGTGGGCCTGAGGATGCAGAGAAGCCGGCTGGGTGAGGGGTGGCGGGGCACGGCTGCCACTCACAGAGGCCACCACGTCACTCCCTGCAGCTGCCAGTAGCTCCAGGATCCCACCAGCGCCGGGGAGCGACTCAGGGCAGTGCAGGAAGCTAAGCATGGCCTGGGCGTCCGCGATGCCTCAGGCCACATGTCAGAGCCAAGCACAGGACTGCGGGGGACGCGTGGACGTTAGAGGGGGCTGTGATCTACCATGCCTCCCCCGCCTCCTGTCCGGGACCTCAACAAAAACCGCGGAGGATCCCTCCTGGGGCGAAAGAAGCAGTTGCGTGGCCCCAGCTCAGCGCCTCTTTCTCCTGCGGGACAAGCGGCACATATTGGATACAGATGGGCCCCCTCGCCAGGGCCCCTAACTGTCTGGGATTCCTGGACATGAATGGGGACTGTCTGAATACGGTTGTGCATGTCGTACACTGAACCATGAGCTCACTGAAGGCATGAACCGGGGTTGAATTGTACCCTGCGCTCCCCAAGCAAAGCCCTGCACCCCAACCTGGAGTCGAGTCTGCCCACAAAGGCGCCTTCTGTGACTCGCCCTGAGCCTGCATTCGTGCTGATGACAGGGCCTTTGGGGCTCTAGTGGTGGGATTTATGGGCTCTGACATATGTGAGGTGCTAGGAGGTAGAACCTGCTGGGCACTGGGACGCAGGACCCCTTCAGACAGGGACGGACGTGTGGGAGCCCATGGGGACCCAGGGATGCAGGGGCTGGGTAGTCACTCATGTAGCGGTCCCTCAACGCCTTGGCCGCCGCCAGGGTCCGGGGCTTCAGCGAGCAGTAGTGTGAGAGCAGGCAGTGCCAAGACTGCCACGCCCACTGTGCACGAGACCCACAGCCCCGCGCCCATCATAAAGATGACCCACAGCCACACGCCCACTGTAAACAGGACCCACAGCCCCGCATCCACCACAGCCCTGACAGTCGACCACATCTCTCCTCCTGCAGGAGGCGAGGGACGTCAGGGAGGCCAAAGAGGGGCCCACAGGTCCAACCTCAGCCTTGGGTCAGGCTCGCAAGGAGAGGCAATGCTCAGAGCTCAATGGCGCAGCAAACGCAGGGGGAGAGAAAGCTGGGGCAGTCCCCTCGCCTCAGCCTCTGCTCTCACTGCTCCCTGCAGTGCACCCTCTGAGCTTTGTGCTGTGGCAGGTGGTGTGGTCCACTGTTTCCTGGGAGGCATCCAGAGCAGTCTCCACTTGGGCAACAGAGCCTCGACAACCCATGCTGGCTTTTATGTGCAGGGCTGAGAAAGAGTTTGCAACTGGGCTTCCCCATCCTGGGCAGGCTTTCAGAACATCACTGCTGGCTGCAGGCCTTTGGGATCCCAGTCGGGGGTGAGGACTTCAACCCAAGATTGGCCTGTGCCAGGGATGGCTGGCCTCCAACCCTTGGTTTCCAAATCATCTGTGTCCCTGTCTCTACTGTCTGTTTCCTCTTGCTTTGCTTCATCCCGGTTGCCCTTATCTTCTTTCTGCCATCACAAGCAGCCCTTATATAGACTGTGCATCAGTCCCTCTTCTATGTAATTGACACAGACAAATCATCTCATATTTTTTACCAGGGCAGCCCTGCAGGTGTAGCTGAGAAAGAGAAAGCTTCTTTTATTTCACTGTAGAGACAGGGTCTTGCTTTATTGCCCAGATTGTAGTAGTGGCACAGTCACAGCTCACTGCAGACTCAACCTCCTAGGTTCAAGCAGTCCTCCCACCTCCATCTCCCAAAGTAGCTGGGACTACCAGTGGGCGCCACCACCATTTTTGTAGAAACCTGGTTTTGCCCCATTGCCCGGGTTGGTCTCTAACTCCTGAGCTCAAGCCATCTGCCCTTCTTTGGCAGGCCTTTGGGATCCCAGCTGGGTGTGAGGACTTCAACCCAAGGTTGGCCTGTGCCAGGGACGGCTGGCTTCCAACCCTCTATCCTGAACCAACAGCCTATGTCTGTTTTCTGGACATTTGTTTTTCTTTCTTTGCCTGTCTCATCTCTCTTCTGTACTCTAGGAATGAACTAAGACACTTGTTCCTTCTCTTTGAAGCTACAGGCTTGGCAGAGCTATCGAATCATTTAAATGCCTGCCCTCAAGTATTCACACCTGGCTTTCCAGTGCTGTCCACTTCGTCTTTGTCTCCTTTCTCATTACATTTCTGTTTGTCCCTGTCTTCATATTTTTCTTTAACTTCTCAATTAATGAACAGGGTCAAACTCTGTAAAACATCTGAAGAAATTTATTCTGAGCCAAATGTGAGTGACTGATGGCCCATGACACAGCCCACAGGAGATCCGGAGAATATGTGCCCAAGGTTGCCAGGCCACAACTTTTTTTTCTTGAGATGAAGTCTCGCTGTATCCCTCGAGCTGGAGTGCAGTGTTGTGATCTCCACTCACTGCACCTCCCAAGTTCAAGTGATTCTCCTGCCTCAGCCTCCTGAATAGTTGGGACTATAGGCATGCACCACTACACTCAACTAATTTTTCCCTTTTTAGTAGAGACAGGGTTTTGCCATGTGTGCTAGGCTGGTGTGAAACTCCTGATCTCAGGTGATCCACCAGCCTCGGCCTCCCAAAGTGCTGGGATTACAGGCATGAGCCACAGCACCTGGCCCACCACTTGGTTTTATACACTTTAGGGAGACGTAAGGTATCAGTTGGTACATGTAAGATGTACAGTAGTTCCACCCAGAAAGGCAGGACACATGGAAGCCATGGAGTGTTTCCAAGTCATAGGGGGATTCAAAGAGTTTCTCATGGGCAATTGGTTGAGTTATTATCAATAGAGAGGAATGTCTGGGTTACCATAAGGGGTTGTGGAGACAAAGAAAGGAAGGAAGGGAAGAAAATGCAGAGAGATCCTGTGGACTCTACCCAGTTTCCCCAAATAGTAACATCTTACTAAGCTCCAGTCCAATACCACAACCAGGAATATTGATATTGATACTGTCCACCCATTGTATTCAGATATCCTGTTTTTCTTCTATTGGCTGTGTTCAGATAGCAGACTTCAGAGAAAATAGATTGCAAACATTTTTTTTTAAATCAGACTTCAATGTCTGTTCTATCAGTAATTCCAAAAGGAAGGAGGGTATGATGACGCATGTCCTACTCCCTCTTGTGATTATGGCCTGAACTAGTTTTTCAGGTTAACTTTGGAATGACCTTGGAAGAGAGGACAGGGTCCATTCAGATGGTTGTGGGGGTTCTTAGAATTTTATTTTTGGTTTACACCCTGAGTATTACCCCTTCTCTCTTTTTTTAATTTTCTTTTTTAGAGACAGGGTGTCACTGTCTCTGGGCTAAGGCTGGAGTGTAGTGGTGACATGACAGTTCACTGTAACCTCAATCCTGTGGGCACCAAGGATTCTCCTGCTTCAGCTTTGAGTAGTCCCTAAGTAACTAGAGCTGCAGGCACCCCCCACCATGCATAAATAATTCTTTTTGTTTTGTTTTGTTTTAGAGATGGGAGTCTCACTGTGTTGCCCAGGCTGGTCTTAAATTCCTGGCCTCAAGCTGTCATCCACCCTTGGCCTCTCAAAACATTGGTATTACAGGTGTGAGCCACTGCACCTGGCCCCCTTTCTCTGTTTTTTGTTCATCCGTGCCTCAGATGAGCTGTCTCTAGTGCCTCAGGTGAGCGGTCTCTAGCTTTCATATTGTTATATTAATATGATATTTATTAATTTACCACTTAATAAGGTATTGTTAGTTTACTGTTGAAAAATTGCAATTACATGTTTTTCTTAACTACTGCTAATAATAGCACACACACACACACACACATATATGTATATAATTTATAGCTAATATATACTCAGCACTTTCTGGCACCATTTTAAGCTCTTCTCATGTCAATATCTGTTTTTATTTTTTCTCCCTAGCAACTCTGTTAGGTAGTTGACTGGTTATTGGCTGACATTTTATGAATGAAAGAACTGCAGCACAGAGAGGTTATGAATGAAACATGAGCTCACACAACGTGTAGATGTGGAATGGGAATTTGATCCCAGGCTCCCTGGGTTATCACTGGAAATGCTCTGCCATCTCTCATCTATCCCATACAGAATACCCTACATATGTTTTTGTATGACTGATCTATCCCATACAGAATAACCTACATATATTTTTGTTTGTTTTTGAGATACAGTCTCACTATGTTCCCAGGTCGGAGTGTAGTGGTATGATCACAGCTCACTGCAGCCTTGACCTCCTGGGCTCAAGTGGTCCTCCCACCTCAGCCTCCCAACTAGCTGGGACTACGGGCATGCACCACACTGCCAGCTAGTATTTGTAGAGGCAGGATCTTGGTATGTTGCCCAGGCTGGTCCAAACTCAGTCTCAAGCAATCCTCCTGCCTTGGCCTCATAGTGTTGGAATTACAGGTGTGAGCCACTGCACCCAACCCTAGGTAAGTTTTGAGTAAGTCAGGCACACTTCCTACATGAGACCACTTTTAATTAATTGTAATTAGGTTTGTTTATAAATTTATAATTTATAATATTATGGGTAAGTAGTGACTTTTTCATGGTTATATGTCTTCCTTAGTATGAGAAAATCATGATATGAGTTGCCTGTGCATATTTTCCTACTCAAAAACATAGAGGTTTTAACAACCAGCAAAACTTGGCAAACATGGAGAAACCCGGTCTCTACTAAAAATACAAAAATTAGAGAATTGGGTGGCATGTGCCTGTAATACCAGCTACTCAGGAGGCTGAGGCAGGAGAACTGCCTGAACCTGGAAGGTGAAGGTTGCAGTGAGCCGAGATTGTACCACTGTACTCCAGCCTGGGTGACAGAGCCAGACCCTGTCTCAAAAATAAATAAAAGAAAAAGATTCCAAAAAGTGTCCATAAAGTGTACTTTCCAAGCTTCTGTCACCTCTTCCAAATCTTTCCTGGCATCCCCCATTTCAATTGGGAATCTAAATGATTCAAGCCCCTCCCCATCCCTGGGATGGGGTCTGTAATCTGGATGTAGCCATTTCCATCAGTTTGTCTTTTTAGCCACAGCGATTGGTTTGTTATGGGCATGTAACCTAATTCAGTTCAATCAGAATGATCCTCAGTCCTGAACAACTTGGTAAAAAGATGCTGGTTTTCTTTCTACTGGAG